ACTAGGGATTACATGGGATTGTACATCCTTTTTAGCAACACGCAAAGTGGCTTGCTATTGCCTGCTTCCAAGATGCTAACAACTTTCCAATCTAGCATGCACTTTGGCATTACCTAGTGGTCTTCTGTTTATCAACATGATTGTGTTTAGCTTTTTTGCTGCTTACTCTGTAGCTTATAAAGATTCTTGGTCATCTGAACATGATCTTGTTCATATATTCACCCTTGAGGCTCTGCAGAACTTTGGATTTAAAAAAGGCTTGGGGCACTAATAGTCTCAGCAATGCTTTAAAGCAGGTGTGTCAAACACTATTTCATTGAGGGTGGTATCAGAGCTGTGTTTGACCTGGGGGGGGATGGGTGTATGTACCCAGAGTGTGTGTGGCCAGCTCAACACTCATGTTGGGGGCACCTGTGAATCAAGTGGAGGAAGGCAAGACCAAGAAAAGCACCAAACTCTTGTCTTCCAGAGGAGCTTTGCTGTCTGTTGGTGGCCAAGTGCTAAAACAGGACCTTCCTTCCTTCCTTCCTTCCTTCTCTTCTTTTTCCTTCCTTCCTTCTTCCCTTCTTTTTCTTTCCCTTTCTCCTTTTCTGTCCCTGGATGCTCATGCAAAAGGGAAACCATTTCTCCTTTTGTTTTGTTCTGCTTTTAGTTTGTTTTGCTAGCCCTCTGCCAGTGAAAACTGAGCTTGGGGGGAGCATGTGACACCCCCTCTGGACCCCATTTTTGGCCTGGACGGCATGCATCCTCTGTCAGCAGAAACGGAGCTCAGGGGACTGCGTGCGACACCCCTCCCCCCCAGACCCCATTTTCGGCCTGAACTGCCTCCTGCAGCCCTCCCAAGCTCCGTTTTTGCTGTAGAGGCGGCACAGGCCGGTCCTTCGCTGTTTCCAGGCTGGCCCCGCAGGCCAGATCTAAGCACCCCAGATCTGGCCTGTAGGCTTTAATCTTGACACCCCTGCCTTAGAGCATTGTCTTTACTCAGCCAGCTGCAGCAGGATCCTAGAAGTACACGTGATTAGAGGTACTGTAAGTACATCCCTGCACATTTGAAGCATCCTTTTTCCTGTCACACTGAAAACAAGTAGGAACCTTTCTTTCCAACCCATTTAGAAATGCTTAATTGCAGCTTTTTCTGCCAGGTGGATGAGTGGGTAAAAAAAGTGATGCTCTCAAACCAAGCTTGATTGCTGGTTTGAAGTGTGTGGAATTGATTTGTTATTTTGGAGGACCTATTCTGGGGCAGAGTTTATTGCAATCCTTGTAAGCTTCTTGCTGATTTTTGAGTAGGAAGTACTTTTGTTGAATTTACTTGCCTCTGGAATTTTTGGAAATTTTAAAGTCACAGAAGAAAGGAGTGTGTGTGTGTGTTAAAAGTGGAACCCTTTACAGATCTTAGTTCACTTTGCAATTTTAAGAGCATGCAGTGCAGTATATGCAAGTTTGATTTACCATACAATTATCCTGACCTCTTTGTGAAGTTTACATTTAAAATAAAATTGTCCAAACTATTCCCAACAATTTTTTTAAAAAAATTCAATATGGGAGAAGAGAGAAAAATCCAGTAAAAGTATGTACTTTTATATTTTCCCCTCAAACCTTCATACATTCCTCCCATTTTCAATTATTAATGAATATCAAGTAAGGGATACTTAAGTAAGGAAAGAATAAACTGATCGTTATGAACTTGATAACTTTACCCCCAAATCTCTAAAACAATAAAAAGCTGGCATTAGCATTAATTCAAATCAAGCACTGCTTACAAATACTGCAACATCAGAAAAGAATTAAGGCTTTTAAAACAAAACAAGAGGTCATTCAATTTGTCCCCCTGCTCAGTGCATGATCTACTTAAGCATCCATGACAGCCTCTATTTAAAGGCAACTAGTAAAGGGGAACTCACCATTTCATGTGCCAGCTTCTTCCAGTGGCTTACAGCTTGTTAGAAGATACCCTTGATGAAGCTGATTTCTTGTATTTTCAACCCTTTGGGGCAACATGAACCCCTATGATTTGCTTTTGGTATCACCTGATTGGAAACATACAAACTCTGAGAAAACTCAATATTCCTGTCCTGGATCCATAAATGTATGCCACACAGTAAGTGGGCAAGTATTTTAACACTGAATGTGCAACTTTTTAGGTGTATAGTTTTGTTCGTTGTTTAGGCTACAAAATAATATCGGTCTTTATTCAGTTATATTGCTGTTCTGTTAATATACACATTAATGGAAAACTATTTTTAAATTACAGTAGTTCTATGCAGTTCTAGTTTCTATGCAGTAGCATTCCTCTAATAGCTGCCTTCTCATGAAAATTGCTTTCTAGATGTATCCATTGAATGAATCTAGCTGGTTCACAGTAACCGACTAAGTCACAAAGTAGGTAGCTATCCATTTGCCAAAAAGTATTGTATGACCAGACCTCATAGATTGGCATCTATATATTTGCCTTTCAGAATCAAGAGGTGTGGATGAAAAATCATGCTACCCTTTGGGGGCAATTTTAGGGAAGGGCCAAGTTTTCGAACTCTTTAGAGTTTGTCAGCCTTGGCCTTAAAGTGTGGACTTCCAATTCCCCAGCTAGCACTAGGAGCTTAGATCCACACATCTTCAAATGGACACAGTCAAGAAACACTGCCCTACATCTTGTTTGCTGTAGTTTGAAAATGGATTTACAATTTCCCAGGAATTAAAATCAACTGTGTCCACCTGCTTGGGTCTTTCTGGATACCTGAAAACAAGTGCTTGGTCTGTTTATGTCTGTGCAATTAGCTTCCATTTGCTGCCATTGCAGCAATTTACTTGCATAATTTATTGAATAAAGCACGACTGCATCCGTTTGTAATACTAAGCCATACTTTTTAATATTTATTTATAACATTTATTTGCTGTACATCTCATGTTCAGAGTGATTCTGGGGACTTATAACAGAATAATAGCAAGAATGTAAAAAGTTTGTACAGCTTTTCTTAAAAGAGTGGGTGAAGGCCTCCACAGGGATCATCAAAATGAAAATTATTTGCCAGGTATTAAACTTATTTGCAAACATTTAAAACTTATTTTTCCTATTTTTAATTTGTTAAAAAATATAGGTTTTCTTCATTAACATATT